CAAGACAAATTAAACTGAGGGAGATAGCAGAGGTTATGAAAATGACCAAAGAACGTACTAGTCACATATTAAATCAAGATGATCATGAGAAAGCAGTCAGCGCGTTAGGTGCCGCGTTTGCTCACGTTAGACATACAACGTGTTCGAATGAAATTGTATGTAATAATATTTGAAGGGTTAGAGAGATGGGAGCGTCGCAGGGAGAAGTTTGTAGAATTAAAAGGAGACTATGTAGAAAAATAAAATAATTATTAAGAAAAAATGTCTTGTAGCCTTGATAGGTCCGAAACCTTTTAGAATACCCACGTAATTCTACTTGCGATATGTGAATTTCCGGCTGACCGCATGTAATAACAATTTTATGAAACGTCTCTATTTGTAACTCCCATCTCTCTCTATTTATATCAAGATTAATCCGCCTTACTTCTGCATCCGTTAATATATAGGCCGATGATTTCATAAGGTATGCAAATATAAATATTTTTCGAGCCTCACACCTATGACAAATATGGCTAGTTACTTCCGCTTAACGGGGAATTGAATACCGCTCATCATAATCTATTGATATTAGCTTATCGTGGTTGTGTTGTCAATATAAAGTAGCATTTGACAGTGTGATAGATCTTTAGCGAAAATTATAAGTGCAAAATGGAGCTAGCAACTGGGAGAAAACGAGCTATTAATGTGGTGATTTCACTCAATTTCGGAGCATTGACCACTCTTCTCCGCAAATTGGGCCTCACCTGGTTGTTGAGGCGTCAGAAAATAAATCAAGACTGTTTTTGTCATCGTATATCCAATGCACGGATCAATCTATACAATTTGATGACCATAAAAATTATCTTGTCAATAAATGGGTATATTCATATTCTATGAAAGGTGCGTTACCAAGGAACGTATACAGCATTAAGAAGATTGTTCTTCCGCCGAGATCGGAAACGATGGTGCTGGGTAGTCTTCCTCGAAACGCTGGGCAAGCTCACCGTTGTGTACTTGTGGAAAGGGTAAACAATGACCTTCCATGGAAGGTAGCTCGAACCTTGGTCAGAACCACTGACATCTCAGGAGTACGTGTGCTTAACTATTGTGACTAGGAACAGATTATAGAAAAAGGTACACCGATTGGTACTTGTGAGGAAGTGGATTGGTTACGTCGGCACCAATATCTATCGAGTGGGACCCCCAGCTGGATATGGATGCATAAACGAGAGTGACCACACTTTTGGAAGATTGTCGCAGCGTTCTCTCCCCGAACGAAATGGTCAAGGCGAGGAAGTTGTTTATTTATTTAATTATTTATTTATTGAAACTAACAACTATCATGACAGGAATAACCTAATGCGACAGTGTAGTTCTTTTTATGCATAACAAAAAATGTAGAAATTAACTGTAACAAATTGTAAACAATCCCACCCTAGTAAATTCACTCAAGGAGCAATAGAATAGGTCAATGTCTTCAGCCATTCTATTAAGAATGCGTAACGTTCGCGTTAAAGGTGCTTTTATCTAGTAAATTGGTTCGGGCGCGCGGAACGAAGAGCAGCCGCGGCCGCCGCCGTTTCCATACGTACCCGTCTGGAACACACAACCCAATCCGCCCCAATATGTCACTATTATATATTTTTCCCCTCAGCACTTTAAAAATATATAGGGCTAAGGAGAGGTCTCGTCTTACCCTCAACTCGTTGTAGCCAACCATACCCAGAATAAATAAGGTTGGGTACATTAATGGGTACATAGGGTATACCCCATAATGGCGCATATATAGGCAAATTTATTTTGCACCCGTTCTAGCATTGTGCTATACCTTTTTTCATGTGGTGACCATATTACAGCGTTACACTCCAGATTACTTCTTACCAGTGTACCATACATAGTAACGATTAAATTAATGTTAGTAAAACCGTGAACTGTGCGAAGAATGAAGCCCAAGTTTCTATACGCTTTTTTGCAGCAATTGAGAATGTGTTCCCTAAATGATAATTCACTATTTAGCCGAACGCCCAGATCTTTAACTTCTTTAACTCTTACCATTGGCGAACCATCGACTTCATAGTTATATTCAATGGGCGTGCGCTTTCTAGTAAACGAAATGGTAACACACTTGGAGGTGTTAAATTGTAAACGGTTATTATTGCTCCATGCCACTACTCTGTTTACGTCCTGTTGTAGCTTTTCACAGTCTGACAATGTTTCTACGACATGATACAACTTCAGGTCGTCAGCAAAAAGAAGGCACCTAGATTGCTTAACTACTTCCGGCAAATCGTTAACCAGTAATAAAAACTGGAGTGGCCCTAAATTACTGCCCTGGCTTACTCCAGATTTTGTAATATATGGGTCCGACGTATAGCCGGCATATTCCACATACTGCTTTCTACCTGTCATATAGCCGGCAAATAATTTTAATAAATGTGGAGTGAAGCCAACTGCCGCTAACTTTTTTAGTAAGACGTCGTTATCCACTAAGTCAAACGCTTTTTTAAAGTCAAAGTAGGCTGCATCGACCTGCACCCCCTATCCACTGCGGGCACAACTTCAGCCATGTAGCTAAGAAGGTTGCTAGTAGTACTTTTCATTGGGCGAAACCCATGCTGTGCTTCCGAGAGCTGCTGATTCACCTGCACGAATATTTTATCATACATGACCGACTCTAACACTTTAGCTGCTGATGAAAGCACGGCCACAGGTCGATATTCGTGTACCTGCGATCCTACTTTTCCTTTAGGAACCGGAATGACCCGTGTGGTTTTCCATCTATCGGGAAAAACAGCATTGTCCAGACATTTGGAATATATGTGCATTAACGGCTTAGTTAACACGAAACGGCAGTCCCTGAGAATATATGGTGGAATACCATCCGGTCCTGCGGACCTTTTTGGTTTCAACTTTTTTAAGGCACGTTGCACATCCTGAATACTCAGACTTTCTATATGCACCCGCGCAGCTGCGTTGACACCACCAGCCGCTATTATTGCCTCGGTGATGCTTAGGTTGGGTTGTTCCGTCCTATACACTGAATGGAAGTACTGAGCAAACTCTTCTACACATTGCTTACCACTCGATACTTGTCCATTTTTCAAAATTTGTTTTTTATTTAGGCAGCCTCTTTTGGACCGTATGTAATTCCAAAAAGCTTTTGGATCTTCTACGAGATGGCTTTGGACGTGACGCTGATGTTGCTCCTGCGCGAGTTTTATCATTTTTTTAACTTTCGCTCGACACTTAGAAAACAATTCATAATCGTTTTGTGATTTACTCATCTTATACCTCTTATGGCGATCTGCTTTTAATTTTAACTCGCGTATTATCTCAGTTGTATACCACTCAGGATAAATATACTTTGACCTTACCTTACTTACTTTTTTCCTAGGTACACAATTATCTAATATATTATTTATAGTACAATAAAAAAAATCAAGGCTTGCTTCTAAATCTAGACCATATATTGGAGACCAGTCTATTTCCTCTATAGTTTTATACAAGAGGAAAGTTAGCTTTGCTAAATTTCCAAGCGGGTACCTCGTAGCATTCGCTGTCAATGGGGCCCTGCGCAGAAGAGGTTTCGTCTGCGGCGGATTGCAACCACACTATTACCTTAAGCGGGGGGATGGTGCGCATCCACTGGCACAAGCTCCAAATCAGCCGCATACACCCTCACCGATTCCTCACCATCAAATGTACTTAACACTAAATCCAATTGTCGTTCATTACAATTTCCTATTCTATTGCTCTGAGAAAACTGACAGTATGTTACAAAATGTTCATAGTAATTACGTATAGCAGTGGAGCATGAATACAAATTAAAATCTCCTAGTACTATGACTTTACTGTATTTACTACAACATTGCTCGATTATTTTAAATAATAACATATATTCGTTATCACAACTACCTGGTGGTATGTAAACAACGCATATGAAAAATATAAATCTTTCTCTTAAATATACCCTAGCACAAACCAGTTCAAATACGCGACAATCTATGTTTATGTCACTCGATATAGGTACAAACTGCAGTTCGAAGCGCGGTGTGGCCACTAGACAAGCGCCGCCTTGTTTCCGCCCGTCTACGCGATCGCATCTTAACATTTTGTATCCAGGTGGAATAACTTCAGATTCTTGAATAGATTCACTAAAGCCGGTTTCCGTAATAGCAAACAAATCGTAACTCGAGCTAGCAACGGCCACCCAGAATTCATCTAATTTCGTTCTCAGTCCTCTTACGTTCTGGTAAAAAATTTCAATAGTTCTCCTAAAGCTTTTTTTGGTTTTTCGGTGTATCGACGAAACCACACCCATTCACAAAATTCAATATTTAATGCCCAATTCTCTGGTAAACATATCTTTTTATAGTGACTTTCCGGAACCCCTATTATAAACGAAGCATAATCCCGTTCAGTCTTATGTTTAATTTGTTCAACCTGAACTTGAACTTCAGCCCCACATATGTTTTTAACATGTGTTTCTATGCTTTCTCTCGTAGTGTCCTTCTTCAGTCGCCAGACATGTAAATATTTTTTACTTTCAGTACCTTGTATACTCGATAGACTCGCGTTACCTCTTCTTTTTACCTCACTATTAGGATACCTATTGTTTTTTCTTTTTACTACTGTCCAGTTTTCTTCTTTTTCCAATGTGTCCTTCGCGTTCTTAGTTGAATTTACTGGCACTGAATTAACTTGGTTTTCATTAATTGAAACTGAGCATTTATGAACACTAGATAATTCTGCCGATTTCGTGGCTACACCTTCTTTCTTGGATTCATTATTAAAATTATTTGAGCTCGGGTTCGGCGTTTTTTCACTTATTGATACCGTACTATTGTTACAATGAGATGGTGATTTTGCGACTACCCCCTCCTTATTTGGGCCGTTATTTTTAACTACCTTATTTTTATTCTGCTTCGTTATATTAGCAAATGACACTAATTGCTCCACATTTGTTTGTAATATTTCCTTCGTAGTATTTTTTACTGTTAAAGTAGTTTCCAAACGTTCATTTATTTCTGTAAGTTTTTAATACGCTCCTCCAACTCATCCACCTTATTTGCTTTTTGCTGTACTACTTTCATAATATTTTTTAATTCCCGCAGCTCAGTTTCGGTATTAATAAATCTTTTTTCTAGCCGTTTATATTCCTTCATTTGATCGTCGAGCCGAGAAATCATTTCCATGCGGAACTCTCGGATCTCCTCTATAATCCTACTATCGTTACATACTTCGCGGTAATTGTGACGATCTCTTCGTTCTTTGTTCACATAAAAAGACGGTGAAAACGATTTGTCCATTACGCAAACTCCCCGAATCGGTGTATTGGTGTTGTCTACTTTCGGAATATTACACCGGCATTCTGGACAAACCCATTTACCTTTCTCTTCTTCAGTAAAATTTTGGTACTGCTCAGCCGTTATTGATACACACATATGATGATACACTTTTCTACATGTTTTTTTGGGAACACTCTATGCATAAAATATCAAAAATCAACTCATTGCACCCACTACATTTTGTTTCCATTTGATTATCCATATTAAAAAAAAAATAACTTATACGTAATAATTAGTCGGCACTACTCGCATAAGCGTCCGTTCGCTTTGCGTCTCGCGAGAACATTGTTACTCAAGTATGCCGTTGTATTCTCTTCAAACGATGCTGACATAGGAAAGACTGGCTTGGTTCAACACAAAATAAACACAGGAGAGGAATTGCCTATCCGTTAGCGGCCAAGAATATTGCCGGTAGCACGTGAAAAGGAAGTGGAAACCATGATTGAGGGAATGGTGAAGGATGGTGTTATTGAACCTTCATTTAGTCCATGGTGTTCACCCGTGGTGCTGGTAAAGAAGAAAGACGGAAGCATGCGGTTCTGTGTTCACTACCGCTGTCTGAACGACGTTACAAAGAAGGACAGCTATCCCTTGCCAAGTATTGATGACACGCTGGACATGCTTACAGGCGTAAAGTGGTTTAGCACGCTGGATCTACAAAGTGGCTACTGGCAAGTTGAAATTGACCCTAAGGAAAAGGAGAATACAGCATTCTCGACGGAAAAGGGTCTGTGGCAATTTAAAGCAATGCCGTCTGGATTGTGCAATGCTCAGGAACGTTTGAAAGGCTGATGGAGCTTGTACTTACCGGGCTAATTGGCGATGCCCGTCTGGTAAGAAAAATGAAGATTCAGATAGGATAACGTTACGATTTTTAGAGGCCAATTTGGCCTTCTCTGCCAAGTGACCACGAAAATGCACGTCATTCGATATGAAAAATAAATATATGAGTAAGAAATAATACGAAAACTTTCTTTTTTTACAGAAAATTAGAAACATTTTGATTTTTCGTCATGAATTTTGATAACCCTGGCGCCAAGGGAATCAATTCCAATGGAATCAAAAATTTGGATGTTTTATCGATTCTTATAAAAACAATACGTTTTAATTAATAAAAATTAAATAAATAAATAACGATCATAAAGCTGTTCTATTAACACGCGACAACAAATCATTAAAACTGAAATTACTTTTATAAACGTGGTCAGGGTAATCAACGACCTAGCGAAAAAAAACCGTGGGAATCAAATCTTTACCTTCCTAATTTCGCCTTGGACCAACTAGCATCCCAGTCTTCCTCAACTCCGTTCCAAGCGCTACTAGCAGCGTTCATGCGGCGACGCGGAGGCACTCCTCTAGAACATTTCACTAGGGATGTACGTATTTTTGTGATGCGCCACGGGAATTACTGTTTAGTCTCGGACAAATTTTATATTACAATTCTTAATAAAACTGTCGTAAACACACATACGGTATATTTTTGTATATCAATAATAAACCTGGTAGTGATTAGACCGCATAATTTATTTTATTTCCATTCAGTAAGTGTTTAGTTGGTAAGTTGTTTGCAAAATGTGAAACGGAAGCGCCAGGGGTATCACTATTTAGAATTTTCGGATTTTTTTCGACTGTTTTGTACCAAATTAGACACAAAAACTATCATGCCTCAGTTAGATCATACACTATGGTAGCATTACAAATATTTTGGTTTCTTATTTTAATATTGCGGGTACTTTTTTTCTCCGGACAACGTAATTTGAGGCTCTCAAGATTCACCCTCATCTTTCACCTTTTTCGCCTCTCCCAGTCGCTGGTCTGACTATTGTATGTCTGATTCTACGAAGTCTTACTGTACGACAGGAAAACATTTTCATTTGCATATTCTGAATATATAATATAATAAAACAAAAAGTGTTTCATCGGGACGTCTCCATCCAGCGGAGGACCACTCAACGTTACGCTTGACAGTACGAAGCTGTCACTCGATTATCAATCTTCCCCATCGCATTTCGGTTTTTCAAGTTATATGATCGTCCCATTGCCTATTCAGATTTTTGATCCGTTGCAAGGTTACTATGTTACCCTTTTCTCTGTTTCTTCTCAAGGCTATGTCAGTTATAAGTGTGTTGTTGCAGGCACCAATGGCAAGTGGCTCAGGAGCGTTGTGGCAATATATGGGAAAGACTTACGAGGCCAAGTCAGTTTGTATAAATTTGAAATGATGGAGTAAGAAGTAGATAAAAGCATACGATAATTTATTTTTGTAGAAAAAGTGTGACAGAAGAGCACATACTCCACCTGATGGTAAGCCGATTTGCATTTATCCTCAATTAAGAATCAGAATGAAGATGCGGACTTGAGGACCGAGATGAAATGCCTCGCTACCAGTGAATAGCGTCTCTAATTCTTTACCATACGTAATACGGAAGCATTTAGCTGCTATTTTATGCTGTTAATATGTGAGAGCGTATTCCTTCTACAGTCACGCCCACTCATTTGTCTTACAACCGTAATACAGTTGCATAATTGCTCCCCCACGTATTGCTCAAATCATCATTACATCCTGGTAGAAATGCCACGAACGTGAACTAGAGCCACCTGCATCCATTGACTTCTTGGATCTCTTACAGATCTTCACTTAACCTATTCCTACACTTTGCTTTTCGGTACGAGGCTGTCACTCGAGAAACCACTTTTTATACCGGTTAATTATTTATTTGAATATATATTTACACAAAATATATCTTCAATGTAATATTTCTTCTCAAATTTATATTAATAACTTAATTTCGGTGATAAATAAAAGTATTTACTCCCCGGCATTGGTTCTCTCACCAGAAAACTTGAACGCGGAAAACTACCCACAAAAAATACTCAGGACAAGAATATTCAGGTAAGACCCGGTGTTTTACAGTGTTGCCGAACGCTGAAGGATTAAAGCTCCCGCATTTATTTTTTGGTGACAAAGCCTTTCTCTAAATACTAACTTTATGAGATTTTACCCGAGAAGTTCTTTGACTACAAATACATAATGACAATTTTTTAACTACTGGCTCAGTAAGTCTAGACTTGTAGTTGAATGTATTTTTGGTATACTATCCAATAAATGGAGGATATTTTATACCAAATTGACCATTGAGCCGGATTTTAGAATGCTGGCTATAAAAACAGCTTGAGTTTCATACAACTACGTGCGAGCTAGAGATGGTTACAATTTTGAAGATAATTTGCTGCATTATTTTGAGGATAATCAATAAAAGTGTTCACAATATATATCCACTTACTGAGGAAGCAGTGTCTGATTCAACCCAAAAGCAGGAGAGCTAACGTGGCAAAATCGATATGTGCAGAACACAGTGTGACTGAGTTTATTACCTATGTAAATGCATCATCATCATCATTACAGCCCTTCACAAGTCCACTGCTTGAACATAGGCCTCCCCCAAGTAATGCCACATCGACTTCCTGCATATCTTACCAGGTCATCACTCCATCTAGTGGGGGATCACTCTACACTACGCCTACCGGTACAAGGCTGCCACTCGAGAACATTTCTTCACCATCGGTTATCGGTTCTTCGAGCTATATGGCCGGCCCATTGCCACTTCAGCTTACTAATCCGTTGGGTTATGTCAGTCACTGTGATTTTACTGCGAATATCCTCATTTCTAAGTCTATCATGCAGAGAAACTCCGAGCATAGCCCTCTCCATAGCTCGCTGAGCAACCTTGAGCGTCCTCATACGGCCAGCTGTGAAGGACCACGTCTCTGATCCGTAAGTCATCACTGGCAACACGCACTGGTTGTACAATCCAGTTCTCAGAAATTGAGGTATACCTCACGAGAAGATGTGTCGTAATTTCCCGAACGCTGTCCAGCCGAGTTGAATCCGTCGATTGACCTCTCGGTCGAAGTTGGACTTACCTAGTCGGACTATTTGTCCCAGGTAAACGTACTCGTCAACAACTTCGAGCATAGTGCTCCCAACAACTACCGGCATATGTGTGACATGGACATTAAACATGATCTTTGTTTTGTCCATGTTCACCTTAAGACCTATCCGTGGGGAGGCACTATTGAGGTCATTGAGCATAGTGCTTAGGTACGCCAGCGATTCTGCCATAAGGACTATATCGTCGGCAAATCGAAGGTGAGTGATGTACTCGCCATTGATGTTAATATCATATCCTTTCCAGTCCAGTAGTTTGAAAACGTCTTCCAACGCAGCGGTGAAGAGTTTCGGGGATATAACGTCACCCTGTCTTACACCTCTCTGCAGTTGGATAGATTTCGAACTCTGGTTCTGTACTCGGATAGCCATCGTAGCCCCACTGTACAAACACTTCAGCACTTCGATATACCGACAGTCAACTTGGCACCGCTGAAGGGACTGTAGCACCGCCCAAATTTCGATGGAATCAAAGGTTTTCTCATAGTCCTCTTATGTAAATACATAGAAAAATATTATTCGTCTATGGTAATTGCAATGTAGTTATTCTATGATTATAAAAATATGTAGAAAAAATACTTTTCGCCTTACTTAACCACTTAATACTCCTAACTATAATATTGTTTATATGTGAAGTCCGAGATTCAGGTTGACTACTCTCATTATAATAAAAGTTATATCATGACTGATGTCAATAAAAGCAATTAAAAGTCTTAGTTTACGTGTCGTTTTACTTTAAGTGTAGTATACCATTACAGTACTGTTTTCGAATCCCTCGTAGAGGTCATGTGACACCGTTTTTAAATTAGGGCAATCTCATAAATATGAAATCTTGTAGATCGGTTCATTATAGTTGTTTACTTTATAAAATATTACAAAATCCACAACCGAAATACTTATGTAAGAGGCTCAGTTTCTCGCAACATTTCTTAAACTGTTCGTTAGTTGTGTTGTACTCAAGACACAGACCGGCTGCATTTCGTGGTAGCTTTCGATATTCTGCCACAGTGTTGGAATAATATACCACCTTGGAACAAAAACAACAAAATAGTTCGCCGTTTTAAAATAAAACTAAAATAATACATTTTAAATTTGTTAAGTTATTAAAATTTTGTGTCGATGTAACTTACACCTTTCTTATTAAGTA